CTATCGTCTATTTCAACTGAGGATTATTCAAGCTTTTGAATGTTTGGATATTTCAGTATAAACTCAGGCTTTGCCGCAGTAACCAGCGATTGACCCTGTTTCTGCTACTTCCTGCTAGAGTCCCATGAGCAGTGTTGCCACCTGTTCAGGGGTAGCAGTGTGCGGGTATACTGCTGAGAGAACGATGAGGAAAAAGCTTTAAGGCTTTTATAACTTCAGGCACAGAGGAAACTTTGCTGAGGGGGTGGTTGAAAAAGTAGAAATGTGCCATAAGTGTAAAGATAGTAATTTTCATCTTTTCAATGAGATCAAGTCGTCACAAAGAGGACAGAGCTGCCAGTCAGTAAATCTATGCCTGTAATTGCTACAGTTTGCTGTTCTCTTTATTCTGTCGATTTTCTAGCTCCTGCTTTTGCTGTTTCTTTTTACTGTAATGTGACCGAAACCTGGCTTATTTGCATTGTATAAACTTTGCAGTGGTTGACATATTAGCATAATTCCATGGGGGGATGCCCATCACTCGGTAGTAGGATACACTGTTAAGCTTAACTGCTGGAAAGCTTATTACAGCTCCTGTTTTGCTGTTCCTACTGACAACTGGGATCCTAATCCAGAATAAACTCCTGGGCAACAACCCCTAAATTCAAGTAATAAAGTCTTAATCTCATAATATTCAGTATTTTTATGACTGTCATAAAGAAAGCACACTGTTGACCGTGATTCCATCCTAGATATAACATCATGCTGCTGTATATTGATAGAGAGTAAATGTGTATCAGTCTCAAGCCGCAGACTTTGATGCTGAAAACAAAGCCAGTGTGCATGTGCCACTTCCCCACTTTCTTCCTTTTAAAAGGAAGTTTTTCACTCCCACTGTCAAAGCCTAAAGTTCTGCACGATTAAGGGTGTAGTTGTTGAGGGTACTATCAGCTAGGCATCATAAGGTGGAAATCCTGAACTGATTAGCAGAATGCTAATGTTTTATTCAGGACAAGTCCTTCCAGTGGCTCCAAATTCAATCAGTTGTTATATTAAATGCTATTTATGGCCTTTGACTTGAATATTTCCAGCCTCACACAAGAAGTCATTGAGCTAGTGTGTTGGTGCTTGTGTGTATTTCTGTCTTTTTAATTATACTACTATCCTTCCCCAAACCCTGTACTTTAGTTATCTATGTTGCTAGAGGGACTTTTATATGTTAGCAATGCATAGCATATATTTGTGTCTCTACAATTCACATTGCTAGCCAAGGTAGGTAGCTAGCATTAGGTACCTTGGCTAGCGATGCTTTAAATCTAGAAATGTTAGAAATGTCCCATTACTTACTTCTTCACCCTCTTGTCCTAATGCAATCAAAAATATTTCAAAATACCAAGATGGCATCAGGTAAAAAAAGAAAAAACACATTCAAGGCTTTAAAAATGTCCATATTTTATAAAAACCCATTTCCCAAAAAGTCGAAGGCGTCGTAAAATGTAATCGAAAACCGAAAGCATTGATTTTGCAAATGTCATAAAGCCATATTTTATTCATAACAGAACACAGAAAATATATAAAATGTTTAAACTGAGAAAATGTACCATTAACTCATGTTAATTTTGATGTCAGCAACACATCTTCAAAAAGTCTGTAAACTTCTGGGAACTGAGGAGGTCTTGAGTTTTGGTTCATGATACTCTAAATGATTTCAGTTGGTTACTGGTCTGGACTGAAGACAGGCTAGTTCAGTTAGCATCGTCTTGGTGAAATATACAAGGCCTTCTCTGAGAAAGCTGTCAACTGGATGCTCCCATCCAGCCAAGAATGAGGGTCGACCAATCAGGGCTAACGAGACAAGGGAAGCAAAATCAGATACATTAATATGAGACTCAGACTTTCAAAGTAAAACAGGAAACATAACACAGAGACACGGACAAGAGGATACAGCCGACAGGGGAGACAGCAACTCTGGAGCACAGACAGAAACCAGAAGACTAAAACTCTAACATAAACACACAGAGAACCTAAACTTAGAACAGTCCTGTAACGCATTAGACAAAGAAAGCTAGAATATAATCAAATAAACAAAATGAAAGAAGCAAACACACAAAACACTGGGTCGAGGCCCAGGCACCCTAACACCTGTAGATGATGAGCTATTCAAAGTCTTCTCAGTTTTATGTTGAGGAACGTTCCGAAATTGTTCCACAATTTGTAGATGAAGGTTTTTTTTGCAAATTGATAAACCTCAGCTCGTCTTTATTTCTGGGAAAACTTCCCTGTTGCCATTTAACCAAATTAGTTGCAAAGCATTCTTCTCAGTTTAAACACTTGATATGTTTTCTATGTTCTACTGTGAATGAAAGATTGATAAATTTATGATTTTGTTTTTATTTATATTTTATTCAGTATTCCAGTATTTTGTAGGAAATGGGGTTCCTTCAGTACCATATGTTAAAAACTGCTTTACAGTGAGACACTTTTTAAAGGCCAAGGAAAAAAAAAAACAAACACAAACAAAAAAAATCTCACAGTTGTGTAAAATAAAAAAAAACAAAAATATATTTTACAGCTTCACACACTTTTGTGGAGAACTTTTGAAACTTTTATAGCTAATTTTAGTTTTCGACCTTCATTGTCACTGCTCTCACTCTCAGCAGCTTCTCTAGCAGGGAGCCATGATAATATCACTGTATGCCATTTGCCCAGCAGCAAACAGCAATAAGGTGAAAGTTAGTCACTAGCGGGGGAGCATAATTAGCAGATTAAGGGCCCGATCTTTTTCTCGGGACCCAGTGAAGACGAAATTAGAGCTAAGTGGATGGTGAATGCTGTAGTTTAATTTGCCGGATGGCCAGATGATGCAATGAACGTTTTGAGTTAAGAGTGCAACTCTTACCTTAGGATGAAAACGATCAGGTCGTTGTGGACACTATGCTGTATTTAGATTTTGTAATAATTCATGTAACCTGACTGATATTAATAGGGCCTTACTCGTCTCTGAGCTCAGTGTTCTGTCAGGAGAGATCCAGTGGCGCTTTATCACACTGCTAACAGCTGTAACTGTGCTGCTGCTAAGCAGAATAGTACGGTTCAGCTTCTGTGCAGCTCAGGTCTCACTTCAGTTTCTTGCCTCGCAATATCAGGCAACAGCTGCAAGTTTCACAGAAAGCTTCCTCTTGGCGATAACCTGACTACAATAACTTGTCAAGATGTAACATTTGCTCCACATCCTTCTCTTATGTCTGCAGGCTTGTCAGGTTCTCCTCCTCTGCAAAACACAGCCACAAACACTGGGCGCATCCGCCTGAGACAAGACGCCACAATAAGAAATGCACTTTTATCTAATCTAAGCTCCATTTATAGTGGGAGCAGCCTAGTTTTCATCAGGTTTAGGGGTTTCTTTTCCTCTCCGCTTGCGTGCGTGCTTCACTGCAGTTTGATGGCTAATCTGCCTGAATGTCTCTCCTCTGCCTCGCTGGGTTCCATGTGTTATATAACTGTTTTTTTCCAACTGACTCGTCTGCTTTACAAAGAAATGAGCTATGAATCTCCTCCAACTTTGCATCATCACGGCTGCGTCGCTGAATTATTTGCCAGCGGTTTCTGTCCCACCCGGCATGGGTAACTCGATCTTATGCAAATCGGGTTTAACAGATTCGTAGCTGTTATAAGAAAAAAGAAAATCACAGTGGAACAACTTTGAAGTGTCACAGTAATAACAGCTCTAGTTTTTCATCCTCATCGATGTGACACTGCTTTCCATCCGTGGTTCATTTTGCCTGAGGTCTGACGCTGATTAGTGTGAACATGGAAAAGTAGAGAAGCATCATATTGTTAAATATTGGATCAGATTCATCTGTGCCCTCAGCATCTAATCCTGATGATTACATGCCATATACTGTAGTCTGCTCAGTGAACTAACTCAAACTCTCCATAGATACTGCTGATAATCTTTTACTCACTTTAGGCTGTGTTAAACAATTCATAGCCTGACAGCTTTTTCAGTGTCTTATCATCTGGATTACTGTAAACGCACTACTGATATATTATCATCAGAACTAATCTCGAGAAAGCATTTCCTGTTTTTTTTTTATTTTTATTTTTTAATTTTTTATCTTTATACCAAAGCTTCAGGGCGCTCACGAGATAGCTTTATACGTATCCTATCAATAGCGGACTAAATGACTAGAATAATTAAATACATGGTAAATGGACTGGTACTTACATAGTGCTTTTCCACTCTAATAGATTGCCCAAAGCACTTTCTACTACAAATCTCACTCACCCTTTCATCAATTCTATCTGTGAAGCACCAAACTGTCACCTCATGGTGCTTTATTGCTTTATATTGGAAGTTAAAGACAGAGAAATACGTTTAGACGAGGAAGGGAAAGAAAAGTTATATTCCTGGTTAAAATTGTGCATTTTAACATAGGAGTCTGTTGAGTTTGACTTCATTTAGGAGCAAACCTCAAGTTGCCATTGGAGGAGCTGCAGTCAAGTTTGCATCATTCTGTTAATATGCTCTCATTTTGAGAGAGGGGGTTTGAAGCTTTGTTGTTCTGTTGTGACCCTGTTTGCTCAGTGTAGGGAAGCACCAAACAGTTCTCTGTGCCATGACTATCATTGTCACTGTGGTTTAGTACATCCTCCATCATGATCATCATCTAGTTGCTAATTGTGTGATAAACTCATTTTGTACGTTTTTATCAGAGCTGTTTTTGCTTGATTAGCTGCCTGCTGGAGCAGGAAACATGGCTGATTAGAGCAGTTAGTCTGAATCAAAACATTAATTTTGCTGGCTGCAAGCAATTACCCAGAAGAAGTTAAAATGCTTCTGTAGCACTGGGGGATTTTCTGTGAATACGTCAATTCAGAATGCGACCAAAGAGACAACCACTCCATCAGAGATTGGTGTAGCTTGTATGTTGGACTAACACAACATCAGCCATAGACAGCACTAAAAACTGAGCCTGAGCTCGCTTCTTGTGTTTTGAATCTTCTTTTTTTTTTTCCAGGACTACAGGCATTCTTCCCTCTCACCTCTGGCCTGACTGACCCACCAGCCCATCACCATGAACTACCTTCGCCGGCGCCTGTCAGACAGCAGCTTTGTGGCCAACCTCCCCAACGGCTACATGATGGATCTGCAGAGGCCGACCCCGCCAGGCTCATCAACTTCTTCTCCTGCCTCCCCAGCCACAGAGAGGCGGCAGCCCCCGAGCGTCCCAAGCCAGCCTCAAGCCTCGGGCGTATCCTCTGGCTCAGCCTCTGGTCCGGCCTCAGGCTCAGGGAGCTTCCTCAGCTCCTTCTCCAGCGTGGTGAAGAGTGCACAGATGGCCCAGAATGTGGCGGCTGCCGCGCATGCTAAGTCAGCAGCGGCAGCGGCGGCTGCTGAAGGCGCCTCTGCAGGAGGTGTTCAGCCGGCCAAGCCTGTGATACGCAAGCCTAAGATCCTGCTGGTGATTGATGATCAGCACACAGACTGGTGAGCAGAAGCCTTTTAATGTAGTAGCACAAGTGTGGGTTTATATTTGACCAGAAAACATTTCACATCACAGTGCTTGCTCTCTGAAGTCTGAAATGACTCATCTGAGATCACTTCGAGTTCCAGCAAATAATGAACTGAAGTGTGACTGATTTGTTTGTCAGAGTACTAGAACTCTTCCATGTCATTTACAGTCGTGCTTCCCTTAAAATTTCCACAGCGGATCACAAAAACCAATGAGCAGTTAAGTGGAAGTAACCTTCTTACTGCTGTATAAAGTGTAGTAGTATAAGTGGGACATGGCAAATTAAACTTAAGAGTGAACTTCTTTCATACATCACCAGACCTTCTAAAAGCAAGTCTACACCTTGAAGACATAAAATGTTCAGTGAGTTTACCCTGATATAAGGCTTCTTTACATTGACTGTTTGATTATTAAACTATAAATTAGCATGTTTTTAAAATGTATATAATTACAGAAAAGGTGTACATACTTTGTAAAACAGGACTGCTGTCATGGATGTAAGAGTGAAGCTTGACTAAGTTGGCATTAGAGTAAAATGAAGATAAGAAACAGCTAGCATAGCATTGCAAACTGACAAAATATAGTTTTTATTCATAAAGAAATACATAAATATAAATATATAAGTAAAATATAAAGTGACAATTTCTTGCCGTGTATTGTTTTTGTTGCTGTAGTTCATATAATTCAAGTAATTCTGAAAAGTGCTAGGCTAACTGTTTCTAATGTTTATGCTAAGTTAGGCTATCTACTTCTAGCTCCGGTTCCATACTTTTAATGCTATGATGTTAACAGTAGTACTAATCCGACACTCTTGTCTGGAAGCACGTAGGTGTATTTAGAAAAACATCTGTATTCCTGTAAGATGCTACTTTCAAAACATCTCATTGTCAGTAAGCTAATTAGCCACCAAAATCTTTAGCATCTAAAAAGAAGATATTGCTAAGATTAAAAAAAGGTCAACTTTGATAGCTTGTATTTCTCCTTCTACTCTCCTGCCAAATGGAAAACATTCTTGTGCTTCAGTTTGAATGAAGTGAGACGTGTTATTGTTTATGATAGATTTGTACGTCCTTGGTCTTAGCCGGCGTTTGCATTAGCGTTCTTTGCTGGAATTAAAATTGTCATGGTAACAAGGAAAAGGAACGATGGAATGTGACAGGAAAAAAAAACTGATTTAATCAGAAGAAATGAGCTCTTCTTTCGCTGACAGCCCATACATAAATTTTTGAAGCCGACTTCAGCTGCCTTTTACTCCCAACGCCGGAGGAATTGATTTCCTGAGCTGCAGTGAAGACACGCAGCAGCCAGTTTATCGTGTTTGTCTTACGGAATCAATAAACCACTCATCCATTTCATGAATTGTTATTCTGTTGCCTGACATTTGCTGGTAGACCGACCTCAGCTGGGCTGTTATTAGCCATTTCCAGCCGCTCGAGCTGCACCCACAGAATTAGTAGGGATCATTATGTGCGGAGGCATCCTCTACTAGGAGATCAGGCAGGAGTCTAAAAATGATCCCTAAATTAAAGCGCCCCACTGACAGCCGTGTCAAAAGCACCAAGATTGCTCTCAATTTCCCGCAAAGCCGGGTGGCCTCTTTTCCTTAAGCTGCAATCCCAAGTGGACCCATTTCTTTTCACACCCTGGTGTTTTTGAAATGAGTCGTCAGGGGATCATCCACCCTCTGAGGCACAAAAGCTCACTCAGCCACTCAGATGGAGCATCCTCACTGTTTGAGAGAACAGCGGGCTTTTTTTTTTTTTTTTTTAAATCACCAACTCTGTTAGTTAAATAAAGAGAGAAGAATGGAAGTTTTTTTTAAAGTGCGGTTGATTTATTGATTTTTTTTGTGAGCTTTTGCAGCAACAGGAACATCTGAGCAATACAAAGCAATCCAGGGTAACGAAACCTTACCTTCCAACGAGATTTTAGTATTCACATTTTGATCATATGAGTCAACTGTCAAAATAGCTTGCGGCACTGTTGTAGTGGGTTAGATTATGTGTGATGGATTGCAATTTTGAAGTCCAGGTGTCCATCTATGCTCCATAGTTTTGCTTTGCTTATTGTCATTTATTGGTTGCAGCTTTTATTCAAAGTTTGAGCTTCTTTCTGCACAGTTTGACACGACAGTGCTGAGTTTAGGGCCCACATTTTAAGCACAAGCAGGATTTCTGTGATGCCACAGCTTGCTTTGAAGCCTTAAGCAAAACAGCATAACACCTATACACGTGAGATGTAGAAACACATAATTTTTTAATCATTTCTTACATCTTTTTAAACATTGCAACAGACTGGCGACCTGGCCAGGAGACCTCACATACCTCATTTACCCTCAATTTGATAAAAGGGATTTACTTAAAGCTTCCAAGCAACATTTTAATAACACATTATTTTTTTAAATATTGGTAGGCACTGCTTTATTTTTGGCACATTTTCTGCAATAACTTTTCAGAATTGTGCAATTTAAGTGCTCTGAGAGGAAACTGCATTTCTGTCTACTCCAGGATGTTTTCAGAGGTAGGAGACAAAGAGACTGTTCCTGTTGGTTATCAATGCAAATGTGCATGGATGTCACTTCACAGGGCAAAGAGTCTCGTTCAGTGTCAGGAAATAGAGCAGGAAAACATGATATTGCTTTTAACTGCTGAATTCAAAGCGTGTCAAGCTGCTGTTAAACGCTGTTAAATGTAGAACTGTTCCTGAGTTAACCACTGGGTGGCACTGTAGCTTACTTAAAGCCTCATAGACGGCTGCTTATCATTTCCCTTGACGCTTCAATGTTTCTATGTAGGAGTGATGAGCTTTGACCAGCAGATGGAGTTATCTGATAGACTATAAATTTTATCTGAAGCACTTCCTCTTGCAGTCTTGTAGCGTTTGAGCCTACAGATGTTCTCAGAGTATTAGTCTTTACATCATCACTTATCACTTTGATTTCATTTCAAACCAGTGTTATTTCTAGAGATGAAGGTCATGTCTTTTCCATTTAGATAACAGACTGAAAGCAGTAATTAATCAATAATTAATATCCAATTCAAGATGATTTTTTTTAGATTCACTTAACACTTTGGACTGTTATCACTGATGTCCATTGTTAGTGAATATACCTAAAATTGGCTCCAAAGCTGCCTGAACAACATCACATCCATGGAAACTGATACTGTTGTTGGACTAGTCGTGTCAAACATGAGGCCTGGGGGCCTGAATTGGCCAGGCAAAAACTCCAATTTGGGCCACTGGATGACTTTGGAAATGTGAAGGAAATTTTGGACTTTGGACCGACAGATCTTTCATTTACTGCAGCAGGATTTCTTCATTGTGTAGATGTACCTTTGAAATTGCATCTTTTTCTTATGATAAGATATCTCAGGGGTTAGTTAAACTTATTTACACTGAGAGAAAGGAGTTTCATCGATTAAGATCAAATGGGGCTGCATGAGGCATGTAACATGAGCTCGACATCCCTGATTTGAAGCTTGAATTTGCTTGATGGATGTCCTGAGAGTAAAGACAACTGTTACTCATTCTGCAGGAGATTATAAATGTTCATCTCCAGCTCCTCTCTGGTATGTTTGCATGTTATCATTGACCAATGGCAGCTTTAAGAGTGTCAGTCATGGTGCTGCTTCTAACAATAAAACTGAACCAGCACTGAAGTGGTGACTGTGAATGTCCTCAAGATCAGCTCAGGAGGTGGCTGTCGACTTGAGTCTTGAGCCACTTCAGCCAGCAGTCGAACAGTTAACGCTCGACTCTCAGATGCAGATTGAGGGGGAAAAAATTTGGCTGCTCTTTTTGCAACATGTCTTCAACTAAACCTTGTCGCTGGATTTCATTTATAACCGTTGGGAAAGTGATGTATTGTGTGCTGCTTTGCTGTTGAAATCTTTAGGTTGCTCAAATGACAAAGTGAAGATAAGAGTTCCAATTGTGTTGGCGAGGTTTATGATTGGCTTTATGACCCTTTATTGACTCATGATGTACTCTTGATTTTTTTTAAGCCCCAGGAGTCCAATGGTCTTTCAACATCGCGTTCTAAATAGATGCAATGTGGTTTTCATGTATTTACATAGTAAAAATTGTGACCATATATAGAATAAGCTCAAGTTTAGACGCTAACGTAATGTTTTTTGCATGGAAGAAGTGCGATTGCTAAAAAACACAACTTTAGCTCTTTGACAGACATTCAGCAGGTATATGGCCATCCATCCACTTTCCTTTGCTTACTCCATTTTCCAATTTCTGATGGGGGATTGCAAAATGATCCCAGGACAGTTAAGATGTGTAATATCTCCAGTAGACTGGGCCTGCTTTAAAGTTTCCCTTCAGCTTGTTGTGCCTAGAAAACACCCCAGAGGTATCCCAGTGAGACGTTATAACCAATTCAGTTGGTTTGGTCCAGACGCCCTAGGACAGGGGTGTCCAACTCCAGACCTCAAGGGCCGGTGTGCTGCAGGTTTTAGATCTCACCCTGGGTCAACACACCTGAATCACACGATTAGTTCATTACCAGCCTCTGGAGAACTTCAAGACATGTTGAGGAGGTCATTTAGCCATTTAAACCAGCTGTGTTGGATCAAGGACACATCTAAAACCTGCAGGACACAGGCCCTCGGGGCCTGGAGTTGGACACTCCTGTCCCAGGGAGAAAAAGGCTTTGTGGCCTTTTGGATCTGATATCTCATACCGTCTATCATAACCCAAAGCTCCTGGCCTTAGCTACAGGTTGGTATTGGCTGGAAAAATTGAAAGATTACATGTTTACTGGTGAAAATCAAAATAATTTTGTACTTGAGTGAAAATAGCTTTGGCTAGAAACCCAACTAAACACAACCAGCGCAGATTGTCAGGCTGCATGAAAAACGATGAATTCACTTGCAGCTTTTCTTACTGAATTACTGCTGGACAGCGATGTGTTTATGTACAGTTGGGAAAAGGGGAACCGATTGCCCTGATCATCGGCCATCAATCT